TTATATTACATTTTTCATTATTTGATCCACTACATCTTTTTTATTACTGAGACGATATGGTTTTTTTACATAAGTTTTGTGTAAGCTTTCATATGTCTCAGTAGTATACCTATTTATCGTCTCGTATTCTCGAATTGTATCAACGATATGATAGATCCACAAGTGTAGTTTTGGAAATTTCAATTTAGAAAGTGAAAATTTTTGAAATAATTTAATGAATAAATCGATCCAATCATTAATCACTTTCTATATAATTAAATAGGTTAATATTTTATTTTTTTTAGCTACGCTCCGGAAGGTAATTATTTTTACTTGAAATTTTTACAGATCACTTTCTTTAAACGTTTTCAATCAACTCATCAAATACATTTCATTCCATTTCACGTAGACTTTCAAAAGATTTTTATCTTGTAATAAATTATCAATAACAAATACCATCACCTTCATCAAATCTCTATATTCATTTGCGGTTAATCGCACTATTGATTGTAACCCTCCCGAAAAAATCTTTAAATCCGGATGTCTTGGAATTTTTGTAATTCTCCAGTTAAATTTGTCAATTAAAGATTTATTCTCTTACAATATCTCTTTGGTAAACTCTATTTGATAGTGATATAAGCCTAAGTCCAGGTGATGCATTCTATTAGGAACAGTAGCTGCATAAATATTTATATCTCTAATAATTTATATAAATGCAAAAGAAAAATGTACTCCAATAATATAAAATAAAATATTATTATTTAAATACTTACGGAATATCTCAAAAGTAATTATATACTGGTTCTAAACTTGCAAAATTTTCTGTCTTATTATTGTAATACTTCATCATATTTTCATGGTTATGAAGTATTATATTTAAATTTGTATTTGTCAAATTGTCCCTTGGTACCAAACAAAAATGGCAAGGATATTTTGAATTGGTTGATTTATAAGTTAATGAAAAAGTATAGGCTTCCGGTCAATCACAAATTATCATAGAAATTCTTGAAAAAAATCAAATAGTATTATCGTTGACTTTAAAATTGATACCATTATCACCTTCGAATAGAAGTTTCAGTAAAAATTTTAATGTATTGTGAAAAGTTTTGCGAACTAATTTCTTAAATTCAAAAGATTTTTTTTCCGATTCATCTTTAGCAGATAAAATTGGAAGATAACCCAATAATTGTTTAGTATCTTCCTTATTTCTCTGTCACGTTGAAATATTGCCAAGAGACATGTAAATGGGGTGTAATGAATTCTTTCCTAATATGTCAAGTATAGTAGTATCCAAATAGAGAATAATTGACAAAATATGTGTTAAAGGTGGAATTGAACCTTCTGTATGTTTCTACCAATTTCTGGAATTTTGCTCTCCATATGATTTTTTCCCCTTGGTCTATGATAATATGTAAATATTAATTATATTAATTTTAAAGTAAAATATACAAATTTTTTAAAAAATTTTAAAATTTTATTACCAAATCTTTGTAATTATATGCAAAATATTTGATTATATCTGGATTTGATAGAAGATTTTCAATACAATTTTTGATTGGATAATAGTGTATAAAATATTTAATATTATTATGAACAAGTATACGATGTTTATAATTAGCTAAGTGTGATAAATTCATATCATCCATGAATTTTTAACCAATAAGGATATTTTTAGGAAAGGGAGAAATAGATAAATTAGAATACTTGTTAAAGAAATTTATAATTTCGTTACCAGTTTAATTATTTAGATTATATTTAGTAACAAGAGTCATCAAGTCGGCATAAGTTTCACTTGAAAATTCTTTAACATTTTTAATTTTAGGTTCTTCTTTAAAACTTCGTAAATTCAAAGGTAAATTTTCATATCTTTCCAAAATTGAAAGTGATATTAATGAAACATCACCATCATATTCTTGAAGATCTTGTGAATTTTCTCTCATTTTAGAACTTGACATCATTTCTTCTTGTCTTTCACTATCTACACTATTTTCACTATTTTCACTATATTCACTATATTCATTGTTTTCATTATCTTCACTATCTACTGCCATATCGAAATTATTTCCAAAACTTCATTGTTGGAATCGTTGAAATCGTTGGAATTGTTAGATTCTTTTGTACTAATATCATACTTAACAATGCATAGATTTACATGTTGGGCATATGCATTACAGCTCGAAAAAAAATGAGGACAATATTGACATTTAAAGTTAGTTGTAAACATTTGTCAATTTTGATATTTTTCAATTTTTTCAAAATTAGTTTAATACTTTTAGCACTCTTTTTCATAACACTTTATATATCTTTTTCAAAATTTCAAATGTATATTTATTGTTATTATCAATAATTATTCGAATGTATTCGAATCCTTTTAATCCTTC